AATAAAAATAATAATAATAAAAAAAAGCTTGTGGAAAAATTTTGATTCCATTGTCGTTCGTATGAGCCCCCTCATACAAAGACAAACATTTAACGAATTGATGTTAAGTATGAACCATACCTAGCTGTTCTAACGTATGGACACGTTTGACTTCAAGACAAATTTAGCAGTATAACTCATCCATAACCTGGGGTTCTAACATACACTATGGTGCTCACACAACATCCAAATCACGTAACGTCCAGTTTCACAGAACATATCGTGGTTGTTAAGCGATGTGTGAATGTACTGTGTACTTCACAGGTGGGATTTTCCATTATGTAAATTACATCTCAATGAACAAAAACAATGAAAAGGCAAAGCAACCAGATGCTGGAGTTAAAACCAGGGAAAAGGAAGAACATTGACAATATCTAGTTGGCCTTTTCTTGTGAGATGGGAAGGTTGTGGGACTTTAATTACTGCAAAGACCTGCCCCAGGAATGCTCCCTCAGGGCAGAATGTCACCTGCACAGATTTTTCAACATTTTCAGAGTGGAATACCTAAACTCCTGAAAACAAAACAATTTTTGTTTGTGTGTGTTTTTTTATGTCACACCCCATCTGCATGTTTTCTTCACATCTAACCATATGGCACGCCTTCCTTTGAGCTGCATTTTCCTTTTCTTTTTATCTCTTCCTGTGGCCACTTTAGCTCACGTTCTCTTGTAAAAAGAGAGTTGATTAAGGACTCATCCCATCTTCAGTCCGCAGTGGGCAGGCACCGATGGGATGAATGTGCAGGTCTCCCTTTTCAAAATGATTTGATTGGAGCTCCAAAAATGTGCCCAGTCCCTCAAAGCCTTCCTGTACAGAGCACTGGCAAGAAATTACTCAGAGACAGAACAAGAGAAAGAAGTGAGGAAGTGGCTACCTTTGGGGTAGCAGCAGGGAGCGGGGACTAGTGCTCTGGGAACAAGGGATTCCCCAAGAGCCAGTGATCTACCTCCATAAAGCCCGGTGTCACAGCATTTAAGCACTCAGATGCTAACAGAAAGGTCTCTGGTTCAAGCCCACCATGGCAACACTGAGGAACAAAGTTCTGACAGTCTGCTCCTATTAAGAAACTCTGTGGGGGCAGTTCTAGCTTGTCTCATGGGGCTCTGTGGCTCTGGTGTGGTGTGTTTAATCACAAGTCCAAAGCAGCAAGACACCCACAAAGACCTAAGAGGATTCTTCCTGGGCTCTCAGACTAGCCCAGAAACAAGGCTTCTTAGAGCTGGGTTCCCTGAAATCAAACTCCCAAGTGCACAGAAACAGGTTACTAGGTAACCTGTCTCACACACCTCCTCGGAAGGTTTTCCAGCCCCGCTGTAACTTGCTCCTTTTTATTTGCTTGCTTGGTTTTGATTTCAACGCACTTCTAACTAAACCAAATCTGGACTCTGAGCCCTGGGGAACCACAGGGAGTCTTTGGGGCCCTGGATATTCAGGGCACCCCAGTCTGTAAGTGCCCGCCATAAGGTCTGCAGCCGCCAATGCTCACAGGGAGATGTTCTAGAAAGCAGCCAGGGATTTTGATTCCTCCCATTTTGCTAACAGCATGCCTTTTGGGCTAATGCCAGAGTGAAAATCCCGTCTTTAATTTCATCTCTCTTTGTAGCTGGATTTTATAGGGTGATTCTGAGAGTAAAGAACACTATCCCATAAGCAGTTTCTCTTTGAAAAATCCCCGGTTTTACATCCTATTTTTGTGAGTAGCAACTGGGATCGTAAAAGCTCGTGAGTGGTCATCTAAGGTACAAGTATTATTAGTCTCTCCCTGTGTAAAGGGAAGGAGAGTCATACAAACTGAAGACATTGGGAATCAGTTAGTCCAGTGGACTAATGGAACATGGGAACAGCAGTTTCCACGGTCCTGAGACCAGAAGAACTAGATGGTGCCCGGCTACTACTACAACAACTCTGAAAAAGATCACATTAGAAGGTCCTGGATAGAGTGGATGAAAAATGTATAACAACACTCAAATCATAAAAAAGAGCAGGCCTACTGGTGAGACACAGACTGGCGGGACCCCCGAGACTATGGTCCTTTGTCACCTTTCAGGCCTGGAAGTGAACTCACCCCCAAAGCGCAATTTTTAATCCCAACAAGAGACAGGCACGTAAGGGGAAACAATAACACTGGAGACATGTACGCGCCTTACAATCACCAACATCCTGAGGTCACAAGGGCAACGTTTGTACTGAAGGACAAAGTTCAAAAGGGTTAAGAAAGGAGGAGCAAAGGAAACAGGAAACACAGGGAGGAAGTGGGATGAGTGACGCTACACTGTGGGGACTGCAATCAATGACACGAAACAAAACGTGTCTGAATAGTTGAATGGAAAACAGATCATCTGCTCAGTTAACCTTCACCCAATTCACACGAAAAAGTAAGAACATGTGAACTCTGTACTTACAGCCTTGCCTTCACCCTCACTGTCTGCGTCCAACAAAGACCCATCCCAGCTGACTCTGACTCATGGCACCCCACATGTGACTGGGTAGAACTGAGCTCCACAGGGTTTCTCAGGAGATGATTTTTCAGACGTAGATTGCCAGGCCTTTCTTCCGAGATCCCTCCACATGCACTTGAACCATCAACCTTTCAATTAGCAGCCCAGTCTATTAACTGCCTGTTTGTACTATCAGAGGACTCCCCAAATAAAGACAGAAGGAGTCAATCTCTTTAGCCATCCAGTTGCCTCCTCCAGATGTTTTACTGTACCAGTAGGTGCTTCAAAAAGTTCATACAAAACCTTTCTATTGTCTTTCAATTCCATTTTGTCCACAAGCATTTTCAATCCTGGGTATACATGTGGTAGATTACTATGGCTGCCTCTCTCTGGCCACTCATTCTGTTGCAATGGAAACAGTCCTGGGTGTACAGAAAACATCCCCGCTTCCCACAAGTACTCCATAGCCCCAGTGCAAATACTGCTGGAATTCAATTTGATCCCTCTGGATATTTCTCTCATTAAGTATCAGCCTCTGACAAGTGAGTCTCACAGATAGTGTATTGACCTGGTCAGGGGATTAGGAAAAGGAACCTCACTCCCTGTAAATAATGCATAAGGCCTGAGCTAAAAAATGGGATTTCTGTGATGAATGGCCCAGCTCCACACTGGTGAAAGGAAAGTACTCAGGGAGCTGAAGCTGAAACCAGAGTCCCCAAAAATCCCCCTTCCCCATTCCACTCCTCACTACAAGCCCTCAGAATATTAATCAGCTAGCAAGCATTGTAATTGGGCTGACCTGATGGAAATCCTAGGGTCGTGCGTGGCTCCACAGCGCAGCGTGGCAGTGGTCCCTTTAATCACCACCCCATCCTCCGGAGGGCTGATGATGAGCGTACGATCTGAAAAACACACACACACATACAGAAAAACCCCACAAGTCACAACTTAGATAAAACTGCAAGCAGGAAAGCTCCCTCCCTCAGGGTATAACTGATTGGTTTTCTGACATCAAACTCTGTAAATTTTCTTTTATCTTGGCAAAAAGAATCTAAATGGAAGTGTTCAGAAATGCCTGGGGGGTTGAGGGGTGGTTTGAGAGCTGGTCTTGATGTATTCCAGCCAAGAGGCCCACATCTCCAGGCCCTGTCAAAACACCCTTGGACTGACAAGGTCTCCAGAAGACTGAAAATCAAATGCAATGTTTAAAACCAATCAACAAGCCTACTGCCCTCAAGTTGATTTGGACTATGGGCGATCTCATGAGCTGCAGAGTAGAACTGAGTTCCACAGAGCTTTGTTGACGGTAATCCTTACAGACAGATCGGCAGGGCTTTCTTCCGCAGTGCTGGTGGGTGAGTTCAGGCTGCCAACATTCGGCTAGTAGTTGAGCATGACCAAGGGTTGAAGCAATGACTGGAATGTTCTATACTATGGGCAGACCTCTTTCTATCACACTTGGCTTTATTGTGCTTCACAGACGCTGCGTTTTCTACAAAAGGTCACCCCCTGTGTGGAGATCTGTTGGCACAATTTTCTCAACGGCATGTGCTCAACATCTCACTGTATTTCACAGGTTTCACTGGGCACTCGTCACAGCAGAGTCTGGTATCAATAGCACATCTATATGCACTAAACCCACTGCCACCGAGTCGATTCTGCCTCATAGCTGTCCTACTATGTGCACTGGGAAACAAAACGGCACGTGTGGCATGGTGTACTGCAAAATCCACTGTATGTGGTGGTCTGGAACTAAACCCACAATATCTCGGAGGTTTGCCTACATTTCAGTAAATAACAGTACCTATCTCTGGTAGTACAGTGGTTATGAATCGGGCTACGAACCAAAAGGTCAGCAGTTTGAAACTACCAGCTGTTCCGCAGGAGAAAATGAGGCTTTCTGCTCCCGTAAAGATTTACAGCCTCGGAAACCCTGTACAGGGTTGCTATGAGTCGGAACCGTCTCCACGGCACATAACAACAACAACATCTTATGAAGGAGTTCTGGTGTGGTGCTGTGTGTTAATGCACCAGACTGCAAGGCTATTTGAACTGCAAGGTCGGTGGTTCACGCTCACCAGCTGTTCCTCGGAAACGCTATACAGGGTCGCTATGGGTTGGAACTGACTCGACAGCACTTCACAACAACAACATCTTATGAAGTACAATATGTACCGGATCAGCAACAGAACTACAATTTGCCCCAGATCTGCTATAAAAGGCCTCTTTAAAGTGTTCAAAAGATGTCAGTTTGAGGACTAAGGTGTGCCTAACTTAAGCCATGGTACTTTCAATAACCTCATATGCATGTGAAAGTTGAACAATGAATAAGTAAGACCATAGAAAAATGGATGCATCTGAACTATGATGTTGGAGGAAAATACTAAAAGTATCATGGACTATCAGAAGGGCAAACCAATCTGTGTTGCAAGAAGTACAGCCAGGATGCTCCTTAGAAGCCAGATGGTGAGACTTTGTCTTTCATACCTTGGATAGATTATCAGGAGGGACCAGGTCTTGGAGAAATACATCATGATTGGTAAAGCAAACACAGGAAGACCCCAAGGAGACGGACTGGCACAGTGGCAGCAACAATTGGCTCAAGTGTGACAATTGTGAGGATGGCGTGGCATTGGGCTGTGTTTTATTTTGTTGTCTGTAAGGTTGCTGTGCGTCAGAATTGACTCAAGGGCACCGGACAACATAAGTGCATGTGAAAATGCTCTATCAGCCATGAATGTATCATACCAGTGGTCCCAGGGTTGGCATCGTTTTGGGTCTTAGTAGGTCACATAATGTTCTGGAAGCTAATCTATACAGATTCCAACAGCATGGGTCCTAATCTGCACAGTCTTTAACTATGTACAGTTAACGTTTATGGAAATTGGATGAATTAGGAGCAGCGAATGGAATCAGCCACAAAAGAGAACAAAAACTCTTGATTTGTAGTCCTTGAGGATACTGGAGGTATTTATATTCATTCCTTCCAAGCGCGTGGTATTTTTAGAATGCCTAATAAATTAGAAGGGGTCATTTTTCAAAGTGGACAGCAAACCTATCTTAGAAGCTAAAGCAAGTATAAAGGAAAGTGTAACGATTTGGCTCTTCCTTAAGGATGGCGTTTTCAACAAACAATTCACTCCAGAAGTAGAAAACATGCTCACCTTGTACACATATTGTTGTTTTTGTTGTTAAGTGACATCGAGTCAGTTCCGACTCATAGTGGCCTTGTATAGGGTTTCCCAGGGGTGGCTAGTGAGTTTGAACCACCAACCTTGCAGTCCAGCACATTACCTGCAGCACCAAACCAGGACTCCAACAGAACTACTCCCTTCTCAAGCTCGAACTCAGGACCTTCAGATTATGAGACTGACATGCTGCCTACTACATTAAGAAGGCAGGTCTTGTACAGATAGTTGTATGAAAATCTGTGGTCTTGCATTTTTGAACAATGCATTTTATGTAGATTTAAATGAAGCAAAGAGGCAACTGAATCTAATAAAAGAGGTTTTTTGTTGTTAAGTGCTATCAAGTTGGTGTTGACTCATAGCGACCCTATGCAGGGCTTCTAAGGAGTGGCTAATGAGTTTGATTTGCCGACTTTGTGGTTCAAAGTGACCTTGTGGTACAGTGTTTATCCTACAGTGCCACACCAGGACTTCAATAACAGGGGTGAGGGTTGGATATTAGGTTTTGGTGTTGTAATCCTTATGTTCTGGACAATAACGTAGCCTACATTTCAGAAACCTACATCAGAGATATAAGAAGACTAGATAAAAGTCCGAGAAAGAGCAAACAGCTTCCTTTTAGTTCATTTCTAATAGAGAATATATATTTAATATACTAGAAGCATTTTAATTGATAATAGTGATCAAAAAGAAAAGAAAAACTTTCCCTAGGATTTTCACTCCTGCTGTAGTTTTCTTATATTTACATTCTTATAACCAACATAATTGAATTATTTCAGCTTCTGTTGTTTGATGCTGTTGAGTTAGTTCTGACTCATAACAACTCTACAAACAACAGAATGAAACACTACCCAGTCCTGTGCTAGTCTCACAATTGTTATATTTGAACCCATGTGGCTGCCAATGTGTCAATCCATCTTAGTAGGGTTCTTCCTCTTTAGCAACATAATGTCCTTCTCCGGGACATTTTTATTTTTAAAGACAATCTTTTATTTCTCAGGAAATGTCCCAGTTGAGATTGAATCTCTGTCTGCATTTTCTAATGATTCTTTTGGAAACCGCAAAATTAATTTACTCAACAGTTTTCTAGGAATCGGTTGTAAAAATACTCCTGCAGGCTTTTAGGAGTGAGCTAGGACATCCAAGCACATTTTGACATTACAGTAGGTGACCCAGTGGTGGGGTCAGGTGTGATAGGAAGCTCCAGGGAGTTTGAGCCTTACTCCACACGGTGAGTCTGGCAGAAGCATTCAGGGAGCCTTCTGTGTTGGTGGCATAACAGGTGTAATTGCCGGCATCCTGAGCAATGACAGGGCTTATCTGCAGACCCCCAGACTCCAGAAGCATGAATCTCGGGATCCGAACGGAGCCACTGGCCAAAATCCGTGTCCCTGAAGAACAGTGAAGAGAGAGGCAGTATGAGAGCCAATATATCTGAAAGCTAGTAAGGATTCACTACCAAGAACAGAAATTAAGGAAAATTGGAGCAATAGTAAAATTTTATGCATGATAATAACAGACACTTTTTTTTTTTTTTTAGCATTACTTACTATATCAGAAACCATATACCCACCTCCATCAAATCAATTCTGACTCACAGTGACCCTATGTAGAGTTTGCGAGGCTGTAAATCTTTACCAAAGTGGAGAGCTTCCTCTTTCTTCCATGGAACAGCTGGCAGATTCGAACTGCTGACCTTGCAGCTATCAGCCCAATGTGTAACCCACTGCATGATTAAGACCCCCTAACAGAAATCAGGTACATCGTGGTTGTCCAACATGGAAGGATTCATCAAACCAATGATGATACAGATGAGATTAGGGTGTTTTTTAAATTTGTCCTTATATTTTTAAGTGTTTGGGATTTTTTAGAAATACAAATTAAGTTGTTAATTGTTGTGCAGTGCCATCGAGTTGGTTCCAAGGAGCGGCTGGTGGGTTTGAACTGCCGACCTTGTAATTACCAATCCAGTGCTAATTAGATTGCACTAATTGGGTTGCTAATTGGAGCTCTGCCAGGGCTCCATAAACTGAAGACTGTATTCAAAATCAGAAAGAAAACAGGATACAGTGAACCTTAGGAGAGCTGGAATTCACTGGGCCAGGCGTGTATTTCTGTGTTAGAAAGTGTGCAGTTTAATTACTACTTTCCCATCTTTCGGCTTACAGGAAAGATACGTGTTTTCTTCTTTGGCAGGTTTCTGTCTTACACAGGTTCTGGCTTTTGCAGGTTTTACTGTAAATTTTAATAAGATCTTCTTACTGATCTATGTTGTTGTTGTTAAGTGCCGTCGAGTCGGTTTCGACCCATAGCGACCCTGAACAGGGTTTCCGAGGCTGTAAATCTTTACGGGAGCAGATCGCCTCATCTTTCTCCCGCGGAGCAGCTGGTAGTTTCGAACTGTGGACCTTGCGGTTCGCAGCCCGATTCGTAACCACTACGCTACCAGAGCTCCTTTTTACTGATCTATAGTTTCTCGAATTTTGGTTGTTTAGGAGCTATGCTCAGAGGGCAGGAAAAGCCAGCGTCTTGTAGAGCCAGACATGAGCACTGAGCCTTAATAAGATAAGCATTCAGAATAGATACAAACTACCCATGTCCTTCCTGAATATGGCTTGCCCTTCCTAACAGCACTGGTGCTAGACTTTCTGTAAGGCACAGACTGTGAAAAGGGCTGGGACATGGTGCCGCTCTTCAAAGGAACCCAAAAGGAAGTTGGAAATCATAGATTCACAGGTATCAGACTGGAGCAAAGCTACCCTGTGGTGGGGGTCTTTATCTTTAAAAAAAGAGGTGAGTATTAACTTTGAATACCAGCCAACCCTTAGCTCCTGGTGACTTCATGTACACAATGGAACAAAATACTGCCTGGTCCCAAGCTATCCTAAGATGGAATGAAGAAGTTTTCATTGGCTGATTTTGGGAGGTAGATCTCCAGGCCTTTCTTCCTACTCTATCTTAGTCTGGAAGCTCCAATAGACAAATGGGTGGGGGCTGCACATGAGGTGCATTGGCTGGGAATTGAACCCAGGTCTCCAGCATTGTTGATGATGTTAAGTGCCATCAAGTCAGTTCTGACTTATAGCTACCCTGTATAAGGTTTTGGAAGAGGAGCTGGTGGGTTTGAACTGCTGACTTAGTGGTTAGCAGTCCAGTGCTGATCCTACAGCACCACACCAGAACTCCTGGTCTATCACATGGAGGGCGAGAATTCTACCCCTAAGATACCACTGCCTAATACTTCGAATAAATGGGAAAATAGAGTCCTAAGAAAGTTACCACAAATCAAGTCCTGACACCTCCTTGCAGTGGGCTTTGCAGAGACTGAGTTGGTTACAAATGGAAAGTCTGTAGCCTCCCTGAGTTGAACTAGTCTGTAGGTACCACTTTTCAGCTCACTGGATTTCTCTGTGTCCCATGCTGGGAATTCTTACAAGACCTCAAATTTTCCCAGCATGCTGTTGAACACTTCATAGATGACAGTCTAGTGTCCACTCACTTTTGGGGACTGGGAAACCAGGACATCTGCATGGCTCATTCTATTATGATGTTTACTTTCACTGTGGTGGTCTGGAACAGAACAAGCAGTATCTCTAAGGTCTGCCTGTAACTAGTGTGCATGGAGCTCCAATTGTGAGGGCATGCAGGGCCGGGTGGTGTTGTGTTCTGCTGTACATAGGGTCGCTATGAGTCAGAACCAACTGGACAGCACCAAACAACAACAATGATAGTTGTTGGGTACTCTTTAAAGAGCACATGATATCTGTACAATTCTTAATTGTTTTTTAGTGTCTGTTTCCTTGTCTAGAGTCTATCAGCTCCATGGAGACAGGGGTCTCCATTCTCTTACTCCCCCTTAAATTCTCATCTACCTGGCAGGTGGCAGGTGAGCTGTCACTCCATACTTACTCCTGGTTGAACCAACAGATGGAAGAAACCTAGTGAGAATAATCAAATAAGGCCCTGGCCCAGCAGGGCCCTTTTGCAGGTTGGCTGGACTGTTTTGATCAGAGGAGGGACCCACCTGTCTTCCAAGTGATGGCTGGTTTGGGTGCCCCAGACACCACACACGTGAGGATGGCCGTGGTTCCATCTGTGACTGTTGTGTCTTCTGGGCGCTGAGTGAATGTCGGGGCGATATCTGCATAGAGACGTAAACTCATTGGTACATGGCTCCCAGAGATGCTCAAACCAGCCCCCAGTGGATCCTCCCGTGTGGGGTTTTATAGATCCAATCAGAAATAATGGTGCCCATAAAACATGACAAGCTGTCAGGAGCAACTGTAACCTTTCATTATACATCTCCCGGGAATTACCTATCTTTGTTTACAACCAGGGGAGAGGATACCACCTCGAGGTGCACGGGATCCACAGTGAGGAAACACTGGGCCCTGGAAGAGAGGAGTTCTGTGAATGTTAAAGAAAGGAGACCCTTGACTGAGATAGACCACACCCACGGCTGTCACCCTACAGAGTCTCATCATCTTTCTTCTGAGGAGTAGCTGGTGGGTTCAAACTTCTGGCCTTCTGGTATGCAGCCAAGGGCTTTAACTACGTTACCACTAGGGCTCCCTGAGCTATGAGAAGTGATAGGTATATAAGAAATTTCTCAATGAAAGAAAGATGAATCCAAGGAGACAAAAACACCAAGTCACACCCACTGACAACCAAGTAGTCACGGACTAGGCTGTCATCATTACAGAAACAGAATACGTATTTTTCTCCCATGGAATGGCTGATGGATTTAAACCACACATCTTTCAGTTAGCCAGCCTAGTGCTTTAACCACTGTGTCACCAGGGTTCCTTTTTAAAGAAGCAATAATAGGACTAAGGTGAGCCTGACCCAGGCCATGGCATTTTCAATAGCCTCATATGCATGTGAAATTTGGGCAGTGAATAAGGAAGACCAGAGAAGAGTTGATGCATTTGAGCTATGGTGCTGGAGGGGAATATTGAAGGTACCATGGGCTGCCACCAGAAGAAGAAACAGATCTGTGCTGGAAGAAGTGCAGTCAGAATGTTCCTTAGAAGCCAGCATGGTGAGACTTCAGACAAGTTATTAGGAGGGACCAGTCCCTAGAGGGGAACGTCATGCTTGATAAAGCAGAGGGTCTGAGAAAAGAAGGAAGACCCCCAAGGAGATGGATTGGCACAGTGGCAGCAGCAGTGGACTCAAGGGCAACAACACTTGTGAAGGATGGTACAGGACCAGGACGTGTTTCGTTCTGTTATGCTCAAGGTCGCTATGAGTCAGAAGCCACTAGACGGCACCTAACAACAACATTAGATGCCATCCAAAAGATGCCACATCCTCACCATGTAGAGTCTGCTCTAAAAGTTAAAGTCAACAGACAACCCTCATACACAAGGGCGTCAGGAATTTCTGGGGTGGGGGTGGCCCCGATGCAGGGAGGTTTCTTTGTGTCTGTGGGACCCTGGGGGAGGGGGGGTCTCCAGTGGCCCTGACCACACTGAATGGACAGAAGGGTTTATGCAGGTAAGTTTCAGTATATCTGACTTTTTGTTCCTCTGATGAGGAACTCCTCCACTGTCACCCCTGGTAGAGCAGTGAACACACTAAAAATCCCACTGCCGTAAAGTCGGTTCTGATCTGACTCCAAAGGACACAGTAAAAGTGTCCCATCGGGTCTCCAAGGCTATGAACCTTTATGCAGCAGACAGCAACTGGTAGGTTCAAACAGCCAACCTATCAGTTAGCCACCCAATGCTTAGCTCACTGCACTATCAGAGCTTCCTCAAACAGTGACTGAGTCACAAATCTTCTGTTGGAGGCTGATAGGTCCCCTCAGGGGAGAAGCAGGCAGGACTCAAGAGACCAGGGTCATTCCTCCTCCTGGTGGGGAGCACTACCCCAGAAGACACCCTCCTGACTCACAATGACCCTGTGTGTGTCAGTAACACAAGCTCTCTCCATAGGGTTTTCAAGGACTAATTTTTCAGAAGATCACCAGGCCTTTCTTATGAGGCACCTCAAGCTATCTATGAACAGCCAAGCACTTTAACCGGTGCTACCCCAGAGTCTCCATACTGAAGTGAATCTCAATGGGTCCACCTTCCAAGTACAGTCGGAAGCTGCTCCTTCTTATCACATTTGTTCTCCCCACCTGGGTTTAGGGTCTTCACTGGATGATACCTCCTACCTGGACTTGATGCTTCTGACAGGCCACACCCCACCCAGTACCCAGGAGCCCTTCTAAGATTCTGGTGCCATCGATGCCCACTATTCTGAATCACACCCCTCCCCCATACCTCTCCTATCATTGCCCAAACCCAGGTCAAGCTCCATCCTTCAACCTACAACCACTCAGCAGGGCCCCTCTGAGGAGGCTGGGGCATCCCTGAAGATGAACACACTCAAGAACCTCAGAAAAACTCCCACCTCCGACCATCCAGTCAGACACACCTTCCTCACGTCACGCATCCCCATCTGTGGTCATCTGCTCAGTGGCCATCACTGGGGAAGCCCAGCGTGCCCACCCATGTTTCTCACACACAGCCACTACCCACCACCGCCAGACACGGGCCTCAAGATATGGTGAAGTAAAGGACCATATATCCCAATTTTCTTACCCACTATTTATTCTCTTTTTCTTTCATGAAAGTGTTTTAATTTGAGAAAGAGAAGAACACAAGTTACAAAATGGATAACGGGGTGTTAGTATGATCAGTGATGAATGTGTTTGCCCTCCAGTTGCCATGGTAACTTCCACTGAGATTTCCAGTTTGATCTATGAGGGGCTTGGTTGGATCCAGTTAAAGAGATGAGGAAACAAAGGCTGACAGAAGTGAAGTCATCTACCCCTTGCCCATCATCAGCCCTCTCCTAGGCCTTCCCCTTGAGCCTGCTCTTCCCACTCACAGTGACCCTACAGGATGGAGGAGAACTGCCCCTAGGATTTGCAAGGCTGTCTTCATTACAGGAGCAGACTGCCCATCTTTCTCCTAAGGAATGGCTGTTGGGTTTGAACTGCCAATTTTTTAGTTAGCAGAGCTGCCCCATAGGTTTTTTTAGGCACTGGGCTACTAACCGTAATGTTGATGGTTCAAACCCACCAGCCATTCCTCAGGAACCCTAGACAGGGTTGTGATGAGCTGGAACCGACTCACTGACATACAACAAGAACATTCTTTCCAGAAGCAGATCGCCAGGTCTTTCTCCTGCATAAAATGCTAGTGAGTTCAAACTGCTGACCTTTTAGCAGCCAAGTGCTTAACCAATGAGCCACCAGGGCTCATTTCTCCTAGAGCAAGGGTTAGCAAACTACAAACCAAGAGCCAAATCTAGCCCATTGTCTGTTTTTGCAAATCAAATTTTACTGGAAATACAAGGAGGCGTCAAAAACAGTTCATGGGTAAATTCTGTGATCGTTTTAAAATTCCGTTTCCCCAGAAACTTTCTGTAACCCCTCTGCACAGCTAAACTCATATGTGTGCATGTGGTCTTTGCATCCACTCAGTATCAGCTGAGTGGAGCTGTCACACAAGAGATTCTGCCCTTCAAAGACTGAAATATTTACCATCTGTCCCTTTACAGAAAAGCCCTGTCCACTCCTGTCCCAGAGAGTCCCAGCCTGCGGCTACAAGATGGGCTTTAACTAATTCTAACTGATCAAAACTCAGTTTTCTGCTTAAGTACCTGAGACTATTTTGACTACTCGGAGCAATACTGATTTGCGATGCTCCAAAGCAGAGAACAAAGTTGACCCCCAGTTAAAGTTCAAGGATGTTACCTCAAGTTTACCAAATTATCCTCCATTTGTCTCCTTCCAAGCTCTGGGTGATGAAGGCCGGCTACCACACACATGCTGACACTTGCTGGGTCTCTCAATAGGGCCGCCAGCATTTTGCTCCAGAGAGGACAGAAGTGAAAGCTATAATTCTGTAACCGGCAGATTCCACTTCTTATTAGAAGAACAATGTTTCAGTCACAGGAGATTAAAAGGAAAACTCACAGATAGAATGAAAGACTTCACTTTGATTTTATTTTTCAGAGAAAGAAGACTGAGGAATTTCTCTTAATGGGATAATAAAAGAAACCCACAAAAGAACTGAAATTGTGCAATAAAATGAAATAGAGAATGAATATAGAAGACAGAGAAAAAGATCAGAAGGAAAAAGATTAGGAGCAAGCTACTCATTCAATGAGTGTTTCACTCTGTACAAAATAAATGTGGATTACCCCCCCTCCCACACACACACACACTTCGCCCAACATCGGAGGATGGCTGAGTGTCCAGAAACCATGGCTCACGGAGTAAGAGGGGGATCCCCAGGGGGTGGTCGGTCTCATTTGGAAATAGGTGTTCTTTGTTACATTCATGTACCCACATCAATGTAGGGTGTGCCTAGACCTAATCAATCTGAGATTTAAAAAAAAAGAGCAGATTAATTAGGTTTATTGGTCTGATAAAGACTGGCCGAAATTATGACCCTTAGCACACCTTGAGGCTGCAACTGAACTCACTCCTGTGGCTGAATTTACAGCCAAACAACTGACAAGCCTATCAGGTCAACAAAGGAGCTCTGGTAGCATAGTGGTTATGAGCTGGGCTGCTAACCTCAAGGTCAGCAGTTCAGAACTACCAGAGGGAGAAAGATGAGACTTTCTGTACCCATAAAGATTTACAACCTCAGAAACCCTATACAGGGTCACTAAAAGTTGGAACTGACTCCACAGCACGTAACCACCATCAGGTCAAAAATGACATCAGGGAGGTACACACTCCTCAGATCCAAAGGACAGTATTTGTCCAGGGAGGAAGCTCAGAAGGCAGGAAGAGACAGGAAAGAAGGATAAATGAAAATGGGGAACCCAGGGAGGAAGTGGGAAAAGCGCTATTACATTGCAGGGACTGCAATCAATGAGATGAAACAAAATGTGTGTGAATTGCTGGATGGGAAACCGACCTCTGTAAACCTTCCCCCAAATTCACAATCACAAGTAAAGCAATAAAAATGAAAAGACAGATGAGGGAGGGAGAGAGACAAGACAAGCAAGTGTAGGAAGAGAGACGTCACGTGGAGATCCACCAAGGAACCCCGTGGCTGCAGGGGCTGAAACGAGGACCTGTCCCTAGAGCGGACATACAGAGGGAGCCTTTCCCTAGAGCCAGTGCCCTGGATGCAGACTTCTAGCCTCCGAAACTTTAAAAAAGCAGATTTCTGTTTGTGAAAGCCACCCCCTTGTAATAGTCCTGTTAACAGAAGCCCCGAGAGCTGAGACACTATACAATAGTTCTCCTTCAGCCTGGACACCTCTTGCTACAGTACCTCTCCCTCTCATGGGGGGCCTGATCATGTGAGGGCAATACTCACTGGTGACATCCAGGTAGGTATGGGTCTGGATCTCCCCGCCTTCGTTACTGGCGAAGCACTGGAAGATTCCAGAATCTTCTGGATGCAGCTTCTGAATGCGCAGGCCCCCACTTGAGAGTACTTTGTAGCGCGGGTTCTGGAGCCTTCCAATGGAGACAGCATCCTTGTACCACTGGAGGGTGGGCAGGGGTACCCCTGTGTAGGAGTGGGACAAAGAGCATTAGAAACAAGCAAACAAGCAAAATTTCCATGTTACATTTTCCTTACATGGGCCCCAGGTAAAACCACACACACACACAAAATACCAACAAAAAAAACCAAACTCAGCAACTCAAACAAACCATCAAGTTGGTTCTGAGTCATAGTGATGCTGTAAGACTGAGTAGAACCACCCCATAGAGTTTTCGAGACTGTTAATCATTACTGGAGCAGATAGCCCCATTGTTCTCCCACACCATGGCTAGTGGGTCTGAACCACTTACCTTTAAGTTGTCAGCCAAGTACTTAACCATAGTGCCACCAGGGTTCCACTGAATCACCTAAAACCCAAACCTACTGATTTCAACAGAGTAGAACTGTGCCATGCAGTTTCCCAGGCTGTAAATCTCTATGGGCTCAGACTTCCTCATCTTTCTCCTTCAGAGCAACTGGCGGGTTCAAACTGCTGATCTTGCAGTTAGCAGTCAAATGCTTAACCCACAGTACCACCAGGGCTCCTTTGGGTCCAAGGCAAGGATGTTTACATGGCTACGATGGTGATTTTTACAAGCCTTTCAACACCAGAAGATGTTAACTTTCTCATTGAACATGAAGAAATTGGACAGACAGGTGTCAAGAGGAAGCCCACTGCCCTGGTTGCAGTTCTTCCTGCCCCTACCCCAAGGGGCTCTGAGGAAGGTCATTGGTGAAGGTGGTCAGAGCCAAGGGAGCCTGCTGCCACACAGACCTGGTGGCCTTGCTCATGGGACAGAAGCTAGGTGGGCAGGGAACACCAGGCTCTTTCTATTGGTAGCTTCTCTGGGTGGTGGGTCCCTAGCAACAGCAGATGACCCCTTCCTCATGATTTCTCCCTGGCCCTTCCTGAAGCCAAAGAAGGTGAAATCCACCTGAGAAGAGGCATTTGGGAAAAAGAGACAAAATCCACAGAATGAAAAATCAAGGATGGTGAGCACACTCATGTACTTTGGATATGTCATTGGGATGACCCAGTGCCTGGAGAAGTTCATGATGCTTGGTAAAGACTCAGCAGAAAAGAGGAAGAGCCTCAATGAATTGAATTGACACAATGAACTGAAACAGTAACAATTGTGAGGATGGTGCCGCTATGGGCAATGTTTCGTTCTATGGTACACGAGGTCTCTATTGAGTGAGAACCGACTCAGTGGCATCTAATAACAACAAGCCAAAGGTCACAAGAGAAGAAATTCCCGGGATATGGTGGTCCCGAGCTTGTCTGGTATAGGCCTGTGTGAAAGTGCAGAAATGCCTAGACTCAGATCGTTTTCTACTTCAGTTTTCCTGAATACGAGAAGGATTGATGCAAAACATGACTCTTGGTACAAGGCCCACGAAGTCCCTTCATTTAAGAAGTGACGTGGGAATGACATGTCTTCTTTAATAAGCAAAGTTAATATCATGGAACTTTCAAGATCACGTATTTGCAGATTCTGGTATTCACCTTAATTATGTTCCCTGTCATTTTTCATTAAGTCCAGAATTTTTAAAACAACAACACTCCATTTCAGGGTAAACGCAGAAGCCCATTCATGTAAGACCTCATGATAGCAATTACCTGATGTAGCGTTCAGAAAGAAAAGCCACTTCCTGTGCTGCTAGAGCTGCACTGTCAAAATTAACTGAGATTAGTAAATTATATGCTGGCCATGCTGTGCTGAAAGAGCCATTCAATCTATACTTGTAAGCACTTAACAAGCAGTTTACCCATTAGAGAGCATGCAAAGAAACAGCACTCTCTTGTCAAAGGGAGAGCTTTTGAATGCCATTTCTTGGAAAATAAATGTCCTCATGTGGCGCTGGACTGCAAAGTCAGTTTGATCTCCAAGGTTGGCGGTTCAAGCTCACCAGCTGCCTCTTGGAAACCCTAGGGTCGCTATGGGTCAGAACCAACTTGATGGCACTTAACAACTGCTAGCACATATCAGACCTGGATGGAGCCCTGATGGAGCCATGGATTAAGTGCTGGGAAGTGCCAGCAGTTCAAATCCAACAGCCATGTTGCAGGAGAAAGAATGAGGCAGTCTCATTCTGTTAACAGCCTTGGAAACCCTGTGGGACAGTTCTACTCAGTCCTATATATAGGGTAGCTATGAGTCAGAATCGACTCAATGACACATGATTTGATTTGGGGTATCAAACTGGGAGCATTTCTATTAAGGGGGGGGGGCGCATGAGTTAGTTTCAAGTTTGGCAGTTCAAACCCACTAGTTGCTCTGAGGGAGTAAGTTGAGGTTATCTACAGCAGTCTCAGAAACCCTACAAAAGGTTGCTAGAGACAAGTCAGAAAGGACTTGATGGCCATGTTTTTTGTTTTTAATAGAACCACAAGGTTGGTGGTTCAAACTCTTCAGACACTCCTAGGAAACCTTATAACAGGGGTGTATATATATGTATATACACACACACACACACACATATTTGTTGTTAAGTGCCATTGAGTTGATTTCGACCCATAGCGACCCTATATAGGGTTTCCAAGGAGCAGATGGTGAGCTTGAACCACTGACTTTGTAGTTCAAGCGACTTTGCAGTCTGACGCATTAGCCCACAGCGCCACACCAGGACTCTATAGATACATGTATGTATATCTAGTCATAACCAGAAAGCCTGTCCCTGTAGTATCACATGCATAAATCTGTAAAACAGAAGCACTCACACAATTTTATAGCTTCACAATCATTGAATTGTTCGCCTGAAAGACTTGGTCTTTACATGAGAATGAGAACAATGCCAATAGACCCAAATCCACTGACACTCAGCAGATCCTGACTCAGAGTGACCCCAGCCCGTAGGACAGAGTAGAACTGCCCAGTAGAGTTTCCATAATGGGAACAGACTGCCTCATCTTTCTCTTGTGGAGTTGCTGGTGGATTTGAACTGCCCACGTTGTGGTTACCACCAGGAATCCTGAATGTGACCACTGCTAGGGAAATATTTCCCTTTAAAATTCACACTGTGCCCTTCTCATTTTGATGCCCTGTTGATGAAGTTGGATGGAGAAAACCACAAGCAGGACTAGACCACAGCTACTGTCCAGGGACTGCAGTCACGGTTCCTTTGAAGGAAATCCACCAGACAGCAGTCCCAAACAAGCCACACCCACTGCTGTCAAGTTGATTCCTACGCATCAGGACCCTGCAGGGCAGAATACACCCGCCCCATAGGGTTTTGAAGCTGTCATCTTTATGGAAGTAGAATGCCATGACTTTCTCCCTAGGAAGAGCTAGTGGGTTTGCATTTTCACCACTGTGCCATCAAAGCACGGTCAGCAGAGAGAAAGGAGCTCTGGCCAGAGGCAGATCTTCACCTTCAGCATCAACCCTGCCCCAGCACACACTCAGCATTGAAGAAAGACCTGCAAGTACCTGTGCCGTTGTTGTTGTTGTTAGGTAACCCAGTGCACAACAGAACGGAACACTGCCTAGTCCTGTGCCAGCCTCACAATTGCTGTTATGTTTGCTCCCATGGTTGCTGCCATTGTGCCAATCCATCTCACTGGGGGTCTTCCTATTTTTTGCTGATCCTCCACTTTACCAAACATGATGTCTTCCTCCAGGGACTAGTCATTCCTGACATGTTCAAAGTATGAAAGATGAAGGCTCCTCATCTTAGATTCTAAGGGGCGTTATGGCTGAACTTCTGCAAAAACAACTTTGCTCCTCTGTCAGTCCATGGTGCTGGTGGTTGTATGTTGCCAAGTTGCTTCCAACTTCTAGTGACTCTGTATAGGGTTTCTGAGGCTGTAAATATTTACGGGAGCAGAAAGTCTAATTTTCCTCCAGTGGAGAGACCAGTCGATTCAAACTACCAAGCCTTGCCAGATGGCACTTCACAAAAACAACAATCTTGCCATTAGGGTCACTAAGAGTCAGAACTGATTTGACAGTACTTAACAACAACAACCTTGTGGTTAGCAGCCCAGTTTGTATTACACTAAGCTACCAGAGCTTCTGGGAGTCCATGGTATAGTCGATATTCTTCCTCAGCTCCATCTTTCAAAGGCTTCCATCCTTTATCCTTATTCATTGTCCAGCTCTCACATGCATATGAGACAATTGAAAAGACCAAAGCTTGGGGCAGGGGCACCTCCACCCTCAAGTCTTGTGCAGCAGATCTCCCCTGTGCAATATGTTGTGTGATTTTTTTAACTGCTGCGTGGAACCATCAACATGGATTACTGAACTGAGTAAAATGAAACCACTTGTATGTATGTTGTTAAGTGCTTTCAAGTCGATTCCAACCCACAGCAAGTGACCCTCTATAGGGTTTCTGAGGAGTGGCTAGTAAGTTTGAAACCCCTATTTTGTGAAGTCCCAGTATGACACTGTAGGGTAATGCACTGGATGGTTCAAGCATTCTAGTCGCTCCTAAGAACCCCTATACAGGATCACTAAGAGTTGCAATCAACTTGATGGCACTTAACAACTAGCGTCTTGTGGTTAGCAATCCAGTGCTTATTCTACAGCATAACACCAGGACTCAGATAAATGACATTTATTCAAAGTTCCAGAGCCCCAGTTCTCCAAAGGAAGACAGGTAGCCTGCAGGTGGATTTGTTTCAGACCCTGGTCCCATTACCATGTGTCTGGAGGTAACTGGAAATCAAATATAACACACTCACTGAAAAGCTGGTGTGTCACATTCGCCCAGAGGTGCCTCAGAAGAAAAGCATGGCAGTTTATTGCTGAAAAACTCAACCATTAAAGGCCACCGCTGTTCTACTCTCACACATAAGGGACCACCACTCGAAATGGTCTCAACAACAGCTGGTTTGTTTCATTGGTTCCCTAACATAAAATGAGCAAAAGTGAGCTCTCTCAGTTCATCTTTATGGCTCAGCACCTTGGCCACCTCTATCTATCTGGGGTTCGCTTTGCTTGGGAGAGAACAATAGCTCGCTTTTAGAACTGATCTGAAGATTTACACAAGTGTTAACGCTCCTTAGGCGCCCCACCCCCACCCTCAAGCTGTTTAGAGGTGTAGGAGAAAACGCAAAAACCCTAAAAGGGACAAACAAAATTACAATTGTCATTGGGTTGACCCTGACTCATAACATTCCCAAGGGTATCAAAGCCAAACTGTGCCCCATGGGGTTTTAAATGCGGGTTTTTCTCAAGCAAATCACCAGGCCTTTCTTTGGAGGCACTTCTGGGTGGATTAGAATTCAGTACTACTCTGAAAGTCTTTGTTCTTTCACATCTCCCATCCTGCCCTGGGAAAATATCTCCTTCCTCCTCAAATTCTGTCTGCTTCCCATTTGCTTCTCCAAACCACTTACCCATTGCTCGACAAACAATGTCCACACTTTCCTCCACTTCTGCTAAAATTCGACTCTCGGGCTCAGCAGTAAAATAGGGTGGCTCTTTAAACAACAAGAAGAAAAAATAACAGTAAGTAAAAGAAGTATATTTCAAAAGACCTTAATACCTAATATTGTCTTACACGGTCTGAGCCCCTTTGTAAATCTATTTTTACCCCACTTGTTTTTGTTTTTTTTCTTTTTTTAGAGGATGACAGAGAAGATCAACTTTTCACTGAACGATTCATACACACTGGGCTTTATCTCATTGACTGCAGTCTCATCATTCTGACAGCACTCTTCCCACTTCCTCCCTGTGTTTCCTGCTTCCAGTCTCCTTCTTTCCTGTCCCTTCCTGCCTTCTGAGCTTGCTCACTGGGCAAATGCTGCCCTTTTGATCTCAAATGGTTGACTGTTCTAAGGAGTGTGGACCTTCCTGGTGTTACTGCTCTCCTTATTTGTTGGTGTTATTGTTGCTAGGTGCACCCTTGAGTTTATTCCAACTTATAGCAGCTCTATGCACAACAGAAGGAAACACTGGGCTCTCCTGCACCATCCTCACAGTTATTACGTGTGGACCTCACAGTTATAACAGTGCTTGGGCTGCTACCACTGTGTCAGTCCATCTCACCGGGAGTCTTCCTCTGTTTCACTGACCCTCTACTTCACTAAGCATAATGGCCTTCATCAGCGACTAGTCCCTCCTGATAACATGTACGAAGTATGAGAGACGAAGTCTTGTCATCCTGGCTTCTCGGGAGCATTCTAGTTGCACTTTGTCCAACACAGATTTGTTTGTTCTTCTGCAGTTCCAGAGAAAGATGAGGCTTTTGCTCCTGCAGAGATTTAAAAGACTCAGAAAACCCATATAGAGTTGCTATGAGTTGGAACTGACTTGAAGGCACTTAACAACAATTGTTTGGCTGAAAACTGAGTCATTGGGCAGGGGAGGTAGGGAGAGTTCATTCTCAGTCCTAAAAGGTAACTACGAGCCATAGTCTGGGTGATTCTATCAGTCTCTGTCTAACCAGGGAGCCTGGTCTTTATTTTTTTTGTTGTTTTTATGATTTTGAGATGAAATTATTTTTTAAAACAATCATCTGTGTCTGTCATACATGCACCCTCAGGATTCAGTGAGCACGGCCCAAGCACTGTTAGTATTCCCAGGATTCAGGAAGCAAATTGATTCTCAGGGTGAGGTCTATTTTCCATTTTGGGGCCTGAATCCTGGAGTATCTTAAGTCACGTCTTAGAGGGAAGATCCCAAGAGATCTACAGCGGTTTATATTTACAACACAGTCGTTTCTAGGGTAGTTTGTATCTGTATCTCAACAGCCACTCATGAAACTTGGCAAATAAATAGTCACCGCAAGCCACCAGGCCTATATCAGAGCAAACATGCAGCCCTAATAGCATGCTTTTTAAAGCCTTAGCAGTTCGTCTTCACCAAAATATCGACAGAATGCGCCCACGGAATTCAGAATCACATCCAACAGGATGAGTCTGCCCCATCTCGTCACTATTGCCTATCCCTCGACACTCAACTTGCCTGCTCAGCAGGAAACTGTCATTTATTAACAGTAGTTTTCCTTGGAGAGTTGATGGCAATATTTTTCTTTCTCAGTTTATTTAGCAGAAACTCAGCAGTGGCAAGGCCTGAGTTGATCTAGGACTGAGGGGCTGGTGATGGAATTATCACAAGAAGAAAAAGCTGCTTTCTGTGAGCAGATTCATTTCTGGGATTTGGTTCATCATGATGAACTGGATAAGAAGATTTGCCACACCTCTAGTACTGACTGAATGTTGAAAAACAGGGTGGGCCCCAGAGGAGGGACACTAAAGATGCACACCTGGCCTAGAGGGAGTGTTAGAGAATGGTGTGGATTTCTGAATGGAGGCAGACAGAGGCATCCATTTGGCAGTTACCTGGCTTGCTCAAGCAGAGAGTCCCTGCATCCTCCACCTGGCTGACGCAATGGATGCAAAGTCACTAGACTGCTGCAGGATCCGCTATTGAATTTTGTGCATATATATTAAAATAGACCCAGTCCTGTTGAGTTGATTCATTCGTATATTACAGAGTAGAATTTCTCAAAAGGGTTTTCTTGGCTGAAATGATGGTGGAATAGTTAATGAACCCCCAAACCAAACCAAATTTGGCCCCGACTCATAACAGCTCTGCGGCACAGAAGAGAGCTGCTCTGTAAAGGCTGGAGATCTTTACTGGGGCAGACGTCCTCATCTTTCTTCCATGGAATGGCTAGTGAGTTTGAACTGCTGACCTTTGGGTTAGCAGCTGAGCACTTAACCACTGTGCCACCATGGCTCTTTTTAATTGTTAAGGGCTCAACTGCTAACCAAAAGTTGACGGTTCAAACGCATCAAGTGGCTCTGTAGGAAAAAGATTGAATGATTTGCTTCCACATATATGACAGCTTAAAATATCCTATGTTGTTGTTAAGTGCCCTCAAGTGGTTCCGGCTCATAGTGACCCTGTACAAGGCTTATAAGGAGCAGTGGTGGGTTTGAACTGCTGACCTTGTGCTTAGAAGTCCAGTGCTTATCCTACAGTGCCACATCAGGATTCCAGAAAAACTTACAGGGCGCTTCTAGTCTGTCATGTGGGGTCACTATGAGTCTGACTTGACTGATGGCACCCCACAACAATTTTTACAAAAGCGGATCAGCAGGGCTTTCTTCACTCGGTGGGCTCCAACAGCCAGCCTTTAGGTTAGTTATTAGTTGCCATCAAGTTGACTGTGACTCATGATGACATGCACAGAGTAGAACTGAGCTCTCTGTACGGTTTCCAATGGCTGATGTTCAGGAAAGCAGATCACTGTGGCTGTCTTCCAAGAAGCCTCTTATTTGGTTTGAACTGCCAATCTCTGGGCTGGTAGCTGAACACTTTAACTATCTGTGTCACCCAGGACCCCTGGTTCAGCACCACTGAGTCAACACCAACTCATATTGGCCCGATAAGACTGAGTTTCTGTGATGGTAAATTTGTATGGGAGCAGACTGCCTGGAGGGTTTGAATCGCTGACCTTGTGAATAGCATATGAGTACTTCAACCATTGTACAACCAGGGCTCCTTTGTGTATCCAAACCCACTGCCATCACACCAATTCTAACTCACAGTGCCCCTATGGGACACAGGGGAGCGGTACCATAGGGTTTTAAAGACTGTAATGTTTATAGAACCAGCCAGTCGTATCTTTCTCTCTTAAAGTCGTTGGTAGATTTGAATCTCCAACTTTCTAGGTAGCAACCCAATGGTTAGCTCACTGAGGTACCAGCCTTTGTGTATGTTACTGTTGTTGTTAAGTGCTGTCAAGTCTGTTCTGATTCATAGCAACCCTGCATAGGGTTTCCGAGGAGCAGGTGGTGAGTTTAAACAGCCGACCTTGCAGTTAAAACCGACCTTGGGGTCCAGTGTTTTTCCTACAGCACCACACCTGGACTCCTTCCTTTGTGTATAGACCAAGCCTAATAAATACTGCAAAGATGGAACATCCACCTTTTCCAAGCCAGTCTTTGTTGCCTGCTCATATATTCACCACATAGCTATGCTTCCTTAATCAATAATAATGATAGCAGCATTATTTATGTCCTAACTACACAGTAGCTGCATCCTGCCAAGGCCCCAGTACCCAGGGCATGCCCTGAATCCATCAATGAATGCTAAATCAATATCTGCTGCTGTGATCTGATTAAAGGAATATGAGAGACAAAGGGCAGAAAGGGAGAATATAACATTAAAGCATCAACATTTGCCTGTGATTCATTGCAGTTTTCCTTTTTTGAATCAAACATTTTATTTTTAAACAATTATAGAGCTACAAGAAATTGCAAGGAATAATACAGAGACACCACTACTGAATGCTCAGGTAAGGGTCACAATAGATGGATCCTGGTCAAAAGGGAGAAAAATGTGGAACAGATCTTCAAATTCTCAAGGAATCCAGACTCACTGGATCTACTGAGATTGGACTGCCCTGTGATGATTACCTTGAGATATTCTTTACACCTTGTACAGAACCTTTCCCTTTATACTAAAATTGTTGGTTAGCTCAAAAAGTAAAGAACTTCCCCCATGAGGACTGCGTGTAAATTATCTGGATGAAACCAAATGGACAACAGCAACTGTAAGGCGGAGATGAGAAGGTTGCTTGGGTATGGAGGCAAAGTTAGAAGGAATGAAACAACTAGGATAGATACAAAGGCCTTATTGCCACAATGTAACTAACACATGACACAAAGTAATCAATATCACTGAAGGTTAGGTGCAGGCATTGTTGAGCCAGAACTTGTTACGTGCCATGTAGGCAGTTTTGACATAGTGGCCTATATAGGGTTTCTGAGACATGCTGGTGAGTTTGAACTGCTGACCTTATAGTTGGCAGTCCAGTGCTTATCCTACAGTGCTACACCAGAACACACTCTCTTCTCTCTCCCACCCCCTCTTCCCTCTCTCCTTCTCCCACCCCCTCTCTCTCATATAATATGTATGTTGTTGTTAAGTGCTGTGAAGTCAGTTTCAACTCATAGCAACCCTGTATAAAGTTTCTAAGGAGCAGCTGGTGAGTTTGAACCACCACCTTGCTGTTCAAACTGACCTTGTGGTTCAGTGCTTAGCTTGTTTTTCATTTATACAGTTTGGTCATTTCAAAAACATTATAGAAATGGAAGCAAACTGCATGTAACCTTTTGAAACTGACATTTTATTCTCCTTGCACTTGGCAGAATTCCCTTGAGATTAGTCCAGGATGAATTGTGTTTTGATATTGAAAATTCATCCATATCATGTTCAACCCTTGCGTGACCCACCATGAGGGACTGACTATAGATTGTGGCAGGTATGACGACCTTGCTGTCCCAATGTTTGTTGATCCTGTGAAATTCCGGCTTCCCCATGTGCCAGGGAGGAATGAAGTTCCATGTGAAGATAATTTGGCAGGGGTCCTTGCCTGGGAAATACCTCAGGGACCTCAAGGTCAGTCTGCATAGCTCTTCCCTGAGTACAGCCTGTTCCCACCGCAGCCAGTTACCAGGTGGGCCTG